GCCGCCCTTTCGCGAGCTTTCGCCCGCAGTGTTTTTGCATCATGCGTCCCCGTGCCTATATATATATACTTTTAAACATGGGTTTTTGGACGATCCCCATGTTAGTTTCCGGGAGTGTAAGTTCACGTCGTCGTTAACCCATGTGTATACAAATATGATCCCTATCTAGCCTTACTTCACATTTGTTTTCCCGTTTGAATTTCTCTTGGATTCTCCAGTATGGTAGTTTCCATTTCTTTTCCATGCTGAACTCTAGACCTAACCGGGCGCCAGGCACAATCTTTGGCCTGCGAGGTCTGCGAAATGCAAAAAAAAGCCGACGAAGGTAAGCTTCCACCCGCCTGGCAGGAATCGGCCCTGATCCCTCAGGTGCGGTTGGCTGCATGTCCATTTCTGCTGTTGCTCTTTTCGTCTGTTCGTTTTGCTGCTACACAAGCAAGCTGAAGGAGCTCATGAGTGAGCCTGCTCACTGCCGACGGAAGACCTCGTGGAGCGCATGTGAGGGTGAAGTCTCTCATTAGGATCCCAGAGTTGGGTTTTTTATATGGGTTATATATGGGAATGGGAAAGAACATGGAAACTTCTACAATGTGGTTATATAGGGGGGTAGGTAGGCTTTAAAGGAGACCTCCCAAGGTGGGACCGACAATTTTCAGAGCCCCCCCGTCATGTGTGAGCTTCTGGGAGGCGGGCAACTCTTTCAGAACTTGCTCGGCGGCAGCGCCCCAGCCGAACACTAACACCTCAGCCGTTGCCTTATTTGGTGAACCAAACGGCAGAAAGTACTGTAGTATAATAGGGCATGTATATATATATATAGAAACACACATGTATATTGGGATTCTATTGGGATAATGGAAAATATGATGGAAACTACTATCTTGGGCTTTAGGGTGAGAGGGATCCCAGGAATAGCAACAAAAATGGATCCTCCACCTGAGCGGATGGCACGCTTGAGCTGGATGGTAACTAGGAGTTGGGTCCTGCCCCCAACAAGTAACAGTCTATACTAGGGGATCATAC